TTACCAGAAGCTGACAAAAGGTATTGGATGCCCTTGAAGAACATGAGCCAAGACCAGATGTGCTGAGAGGGTCTAGGCACAGGTCTAAGTGCTTAGGCAATTGGCCCTTGGGGAATGGGGCTGGAATACCACACAACTCTCACCACTACCTTGAGCTAGATAAGCACAATAATACAAGCAGACCCTGAAGCCTCAGGGTGCTTGAAACCTCTTTTTAGCAAGCACAGGTGTAGTTAAGGCATGGGCCTCTGCATCTTTCAGTCCCAGTGTGGGGCAGGGCAGGAAGTTCTAGCTTCTTAGAAATGGGAAGTGAGGGGCTCCTGGCACCTAGATGAGCTAAGGCTGTTAAAAGAACAGGCAGATCCCAGATGCTGCTGTAGATGCCCCAACAGCTGCGGACAACCCAGCGACCTAGGAGAGGTGGCTCTGCACAAAGGAAGGCCTCACGCCTGGCCTGGAGAACATGGCAGCAAGGAGGCACTTGGCCAGGACTGAGGGCCCATGTCCCCAAGGAAAGGGTCAACCATGTTTGGTTGTAATATATAAGAATCTTATGGGCCATCCATGTTCAATGATAGAAGAATCTTCAGGGTATTTGTGGCTTCCTTTTCTCCTGATCCATTCAGATTCTACTTCCAGATGCAAAAGGAAAATGCTTATCATTTAAAGGCCATGATCACTCCACCCAACATCCAATTTTTAGGAATGGCACAGTAACAATGATTTTGGAAGACCCTTTGAAGGATACAAATGTAGCATGGTCCCTGCCCACAAATAATTTACAGATTAGTGGATGCAGGCGGAGGGAGATGTTCAGGAAAAGATTAATTAACAAAATAGAGCGCCAGGGATTTAGCTCAGTGGTGCCACTGCCTGCCTCAAAAGCACAAGGTCCTGAGTTCGATCCCTGGTTCCCCCCCACCAAAAAAGAGAGATTTTTTGATGCACAAGATAGAAGATAAAGGGAAGCGGGCAAGCAGTCCAGACAGATGATAACAGCCCAGAAGAGAGGATGAACATAAGAAATGGGGATGGGGTTGGGGGTGGTAGCACAGATCTATAATCCCAGCACTCGGAAGGCTGAGGCAGGAGCACTGCCATGAGTTCAAGGCCAGACTGGGCTACACACAGAGTTTAAGGCCAGCCTGAACTACATAACAAGACCTTGTTTCAAAAAAAGAAAGAAAGAAAGAAAGAAAGAAAGAAAGAAAGAAAGAAAGAAAGAAAGAAGGAGAGATAGGGTAGAGTGATGGAGAGAAAGATGGAAAGAGATCTCAGGAGGCAGATATGATGATGAAACAGAGGCAGATAAAATGAGAGAAAAGAGAGAAAATGGAGATCAGGAACAACAAGAGTAGGAAAGAAAGACAGACAAGGAGCTATGACAGGAAAGAGAAGATGTAAGTAAGTTAGTATGTGGACCCTGTATAAACTCTGATTCATCATGTGAAAACTTTTTTTGTTGCTTTTTTTTGAGATAGGACCTCACTATGTAGTTCAGGCTAGCCTTGAACTATTTGGCCCAGGCTGGCCTTAATACACCGCAATCCTCCTGCTTCAGCCTCTTGAGTGCTGGGATTATAGACATGGGCCACCATGCCCAGTTTATTGATTTTTGAGACAGAGTCTTGCTATGTAGTTCATGCTGGTCTTGTATTCTGTGTGTATTCCAGGCTGGCCTTAAACCTGTGAAGATCCTTCTATCTCAGCCTCCCAAGTGCTGAGATGTCAGGGGTGTGTGACCACGCCTGGCAGTTATTTTTTGTTTTGTTTTAAGACAGGATCTTATTCTATAGTTCAGGCTGGCAATTTTCTTAAATATTGAAGGATCTTTCTTCAAAACTTTCCTTAAAACGAGGGGTCAGAAGTCCTCGCTGCTGGGGATGCTGAGACAGGGGGATCACTCAAATCCAGGAGTTTGGAGCCATCCTGGGCAACAAAGCAAGAGCTGGTCTCAAAAAAGAAAAACCACCAAGTAGCCACAAGCCAGTAGAACAGCCATTCTGTTTCTCCTGCCAAAGCTCTTCAACCACTGTTTATGCTGCCTCCTGGGCAATCTTCAAAACCAAGTATTTTATTTTGCTTTAGTCCTACACCCTTTGGGATATCCTTACTTCCTCTCTAACATTTGAAGAGAAATTGGAAACAGTTTAACATGGTGAACCAGGCTCCAGAATTATCTTTTCACCTTCTAAAACCTCTGTAAAGAATTAGGTGATCTGAAAGCAGAGATTAGTTTATCAAGGCATCCGTTTATTCCAGCCAGGGAACCTTTCCTCAATGCTTCTAGAAGGATTTTTTTCCACCTCTTCTTGCCACATAGAATACTCTCTTCCTCCCTGTAGCCACAGTTGAAACCATATAGTTAATTCATAGTTCTAGTAGTCTTCTTCAGGGTTCTCCCAAGGTCTATTCTCCCTGAAAATGGTTTTTTTAGGGCAAAACAGTGAGCCTCACAGAGCTGCCCTTGCCAATCAGAGCCACTGTGATGGGGGGGGGGATTCACTAGCCATCTGCCTCTTATCTCACCCTGCACATCTGCTTTGGTATATTAACAAAGGCTCCCTGTGGAGAAACCATTGTGTATGTATCTGTTTAAATGTCCATGTCCCTCACTGCAGAATAGTCACCAAATGGTTTTCAAGTGGGAAAGAGCAGTCCAAAGTTTGACAAATCTTGTTGAACCTGAGGTCCCACTCAAAATAAACAGTACTGTTACTTTTCTGGAGACTGTGTTTCCTGCCAGCATGCCTACTTGAGTTAGATGTGTAGGTGGTCCCTACAAGTTTTAAGACCCACAAACTCAGTTTGTTAAGGGTTACTTAGTTGAGCGACTGCTATAAATCTCCTCTATTTCTTAGGCCCCCCCCCCGCCCCGTATTCCCTGGGTTATAAGAAGGAATGGGAAGAAAATAAAGCTATTTATTTTCCAAATAGCAAATGAGGCTCAACACTTAACGAAATCTGACAGTGGCAAATCTTTCTTTGAAACAAAACAAGCTGCTGATTCTATAGAGAGCCAGATGCCTATGGGGCCATACTTGGTAGTACTGGTGTGAAAGGCTATGCTTTTAAAATATATTTTACTGTAGTATGAAAGGCTGAAAAAGGCTTAAGATCTAATAAAGTTTCAGTGATTATCTTCTTTGTATCAATGTTCTGAAAATCTAAGAGAATGAGAGTAACTGGTATCAGTTAATACCAGAATGATATAGAATTCCAGTGACTGGAACTCCTCTGCTAGAGTAATCATACAAACTTTTACCTTCTACTTCAATTGTCTACCTTTAAAATGAGTATAAAAGATATTAACTTGTCTCCTAAAGATGTGAAACAAAGCAAAAGATGTCTGAAAAACTCCCTAAGTCTGCATGTAGAAAAACCTTGTGCTGTATGTAATAAACGGTATCTTGGGTTTATGCAGCACTTTTACACTAGAGTTCAAACTTTGATAGAAATAGAAGGCATCATTATTTCAATTGTCTTTCATTCACATCTTCCTAAGAGTTGAAGGTTGTTTATGCACATTCTATGATTCACCATGTGCTCTCTCTCTCTCTCTCTCTCTCTCTCCTCCATTCCTAGTTTCCAGCAATCAAGAGCTTGAAGAGTTGGAAACCAACCTACGGTAGGGAGAAAAAGATGTGTGACACCACTTAGCAAGAGCGTAGTGAAGCCAAAAGTGCCAACCTCAAGCACCTGGATGTATAACGCCCAAGCCACCGTTCTTTATGGGATTTATAATTTAAACGGGCCCCAAAGCAGGAGATTGGCTGGGGAAATGTCCTGATCGCAGTCGGGCTGCTCGCATGGCATTGCTCGGATACCGCTGGCTGGGCTCCCTCCGTCGACGTCCGGAGCCTGCTGGCCCGTCGAGCAGCTGTCGAGCCGCGGGAGCCCGTCCGTGGGCAGGGCCGGCGCAGCTCGGGTCGCCGCTGCCCCGTCGCTGACCCTCGCGTGAAGCTGCGCGCATCGAGAGAAGACATATTCCCGGCCGGGCCTCCGCGCCGCTGTGGCCCGGGGCGGAAGGGTTGGTCCAGGGGCTGGGGCCCAGCCGCGCACCCCTCCGTGGGGGGCGCCTCGACTCGCCGGGGGCGGGGTCACGCCCCACCCGGGCAGCTGGGGGCACCGGCGCTGCGGAAACCTGAGCGGGGCCGAGGAACTGGGGCTTCCTGGGCCACCTCCCCGAGCGCCTTGGGCCCGCGGTGGGCGCGCCAGCCACCGCCTCCCCCGGGCCGTCGTCGCGGAGACCACTCCCGCGCCCCGCACCTGTGGACGTCCTTGTCCAGCGCCTGGAGCTCCCTTGAGCGAGCCGAGCCCAGGATAGACATGCTACTCCCGTTTCCTGCCCCTTCGGAGCGGCGAGGAGTGGGTGAGGCGAGGCCGGGCCGCTGCATCGAGGAGCCCCCCGCGCCCAGGGCGGACGGGCTCCGCGGCGGGGGCGCCGGGGCCTGCCCAGGGATGGCGGGCAGGCCAGCCTCGGCCTATGGGCCGGCGCGCGAAGGGTGGGCAGCCGGCGAGAAGGCGCTTGCTGCCCGTGCCCCCTCACCGCGGGCAGCCCCGAGTGGGACGCAGGGGACGGGCTACCCCGGCACAGCGGCCTGACCCCGGGGGACTCCGCTTTGTGGCGGGCGACGGCTGCCCTGGCCCAGGCCACCCGGCCCTCAGGTTATGTGACTGTGACTGTGACGGGCCGCCTGGGGCAGAGAGCCGCTGAAGGGGAAAGGGGAGCCGCTCCCCATAGCTTGGGGGGATGTTGTGCTTGGTGGGGGTTCGGGGGTCACCACCCTCCCAGGAGACGTGGGGGAGGGTGGCCGGCGCAGCTGGCCGGCGAGGGGCGGGGTCACTGAGGCGAAGAGTGTGTGTTCGAGGGAGGGTGCATGGGGGAGGGCGCGCGCAGAGGATAGCGCTCTGCGCGCAGGCGCGAGCAGCCAGCCGGGCCCGAGCCCTGGAAGCTGGCCGGCGGGGAGCGGGGGCGGGAGGCCGGCTAGAGGGCGGGCAGGCTGACGCGAGAGGGGGGCGGGGAGCCGCGTCGGCGTCGCGGGGCGCGGGCGATTCGAGGCCGACGCATGTGCGCGTGCGCGCGCTGGCGATGTGTCGGCGTTAGAGGGGAGTGACGCGTGCGCGTTCACGTGCACCCGGGAGAGCGGTAAGAAGCAAAGGGAAGCTAGAAGGTGGTGGGGGTGGAGGAGCTAACCGGAGGAGGGGTGGGGAGGCGGCGCCTGCGCAGTGCGCCGCGGAGAGCAGTGTGTATGTGAGAGTCTGACGGGTTCAAAATGGCGGCGGCTGCTTCGGCGGCTCCTCCTGTGTGAGGGAAACAACACCCCTCCCCAGCAGCGGCGGCGGCGGCTGCAGGTCCCTGATCACCGTCCCAGCGGCTGGGCCTGTCGCCGCTCTGTCTATCCTGGGCAGAGGGCGCTCTGGGAGGAGGGGCAACGCCAGGGGGCCCATACCCCGGAGTCTCTACTGCGGCTGGGGAGTAGCCGGGGGCTCGTCCCGCAGCGCGGAGCCCGGGCTGAAGGGGAGACGTGAGGGCAGCCCGGGCCCCCAGCTCCGCGCGCCGCGCCGCTCCCGCTCTCTCTGTCCCTTGGGGCCAGGGCCCACGTTCCGGGGGGCCAAGCGACGCTGGGAGCCTCGGCCCGGCCGGTCTCAGCTCATCGGCCGCCGCTCCCCGGCTCCCGAGGCGGCCGACTGCTGCTGGCCCAGGGCACGGCGAGGAGGGCGCTCCCTGCGGCCAGGCCGGCCCGGCCTTCGGGCGGCTGACCGCCAGTCCGGGCGAGGCACCGGGGGTCGTTCCTCCCCTCTCCTACGCCTCCGACGCCTGGTCTTCAAAGCCAGAAGAGAAGGTTGGATCCAGCAACTGTTTCCTCTTTTCCGGGTCGCTTTGACCCTCTCTGGATACTGGGTTGATCCACGGAATAACCGAAGACGACGTTTGGGATTTAATTTTTCCTCTCAGTTTTTGGAATCTTTCACTTCTCACTTGGACAAGAACTCTAGAGCAAAATCCCCGGTGAGATTCCCCCTCCCCCCTCCGCCTTGGGAAGTTTGGTTAGCTGTGTTATCAGAAGATTTAAAGTTTTTATTTCTTTTTCCAATGGGTAAACCACTGGGACGCCTTTCTTGGGGACGGGTGGCGAGATTTCCCGTTTTTCTTGTCCGACCCGGGCGGCCCTCGCCCAGGGGGTGCAGACACGGTCTTTCTCCCGGCAGTGAGCGAAGGCTTCCTCAGGGAGGACACTGCCACGAACTGTTCTGGCAAACTATGTCATCGGGTCCTCTGGTCTCCTAGCAGTTCTGAAAGGATGCTGTTAATGTGGCCGTAATGTAGTTACAGAAGAGGAAAAATTTGCATTCCCAATGGAAGCCATTATCCATAAGAATGTTTAGAAAAATGAAAACCCTTGCTTAGTATTACGGATTGACTGTCGCGTCAGCCGTTCTTTATTTAATTTTTTCAAAGGGTGTGTTTTGTTTTTATTCATAGATCGAGTTGTTTCATTTATTGCTATATCCAAAAAGATCAGACTTGATTTTTGTCTATTTACAACTCTCGCATTTGTTTCAGAGTTCTGCATATATTGTGTTGGGGTGGAGGTTAGGTCTGGGAAAGAAAGGCGACAATTGTGTTGCCTTACTGGAGGGGTATGGGGAATCTTTCTTCAAATTCTAATTTCTTGTCCTCTTTTAATATAGTAAGACAGTCTGCCCTTCTTTTCCTTAGTTTCTAATTACCAGTATAAGAACTATTTTGGTTAGGATCTGGATTAATTCAGGCATGCTTCACCTGGTCAGCTCTCTAGAGATAAAAGTTCTGCAGGGCCCCCCCCCCCCCTTTTTTTTTTTTTTTTTTTTTTTTTTTTTTTTTTTTTTTTTTTTTTTTTTTTTTTTTTTTTTTTTTTTTTTTTTTTTTTTGCTAATCCTGCCATAAAGGGGAGCTTTGGTAATTGCCGTCCCGTAGGCAGAAGTAAGTGGTGTGGCCTGTTCGCAAGGAACTGAAACCAACATCTCCTTTTGCTTAGGCCTCGGACAGTTGAATGTGGTGATTAACGTTGAACATGACATGGAACCACTTGCCCAAGAGCAGAAGGGTCCCAGACTAATGGAGAAGAATCTGATTTCTCAGAGAAGCTTTAACTTATACCTTAAATACAGTACTCTTTTCTGTGGAAAGAAAGCATAAGTTTGAGAATTGAGTTCTCATCTCTCATATCATTATTCTTTAGTGTTGCAATCTGGTTCCTAAGGAGGAAGAGGAAGGCAGTCCTGGAGTGGTTTCTTTATAGTAATTTCAACAGAAGAGTGAGAGATGGAACCCGAAGAAGAAAGAATTCGTTACAGCCAGAGATTGGTTAGTATTTTCTTTTTTTTTTTCTCCAGTTTTGAACTAGAATAACTATTTTGCTTTCATTTGTGAGTTTAGTGTTATTAAACTTTTCAGGTGACTTTTCTGTGTACCAGTTAGGGGTGATTATACACTAATTTAATGTGAGACATTAAAATATTAGTATCTCATTTGGGGTTTGGTCAAGTAGTTGAAGCCTTAATATTCATCATGTTTGAAAATGGAATTGCAGCTTTAACTTTTATAGAAACCATTATAAATCAAAAGATATTTTAGATTATAGTGAGACAAGGATTCCCAATTTTACAATACTGAGACTATAAAAAATCTAATTGAATAAGTTACATTAGAATGTAAATTTTAGAGACAAAAGTTTGAGAAAGGATGATTGTATATCATTTTTTTAGGATTATGCAGACCCAGGATTTGTGATTTTTGAGATGGGGAGTAGAACTGTGGATTATGTTAATAAATTAACACTTTGGTAGGCTTGCAGAGTTGTTGAGGGATTGATTGAGAATAGAATAAAAGATGTTGATGAAGTTCTGTATTTTGTATTTTGGGAGGAATGTATGAGATATATCTTGTTGAAAGAAATTGTAGTCATTTAGAGAGATTTAACTTCTGTGTGCCTGTGTGTGTGCATATGCTTCCTTCTCATTGTTTTCCTGTGGAGTTTAAGATTTCTGTTTTCCTCATTCAAAGAGACCTTTATTAATATTCTAACCATATATTCATTTTAGAAAAATTGAACTTGTGTTTATGGAGTGGGATATGAGGAAACCCACAGTGTATGTATTATGTAAAATTTGCTGAACTGAAAGGCCTAGAATATTACTAAAGGAATTTATGGTGGTTTTATTTGGCTCTGCATTTTAGACTGAATTTGTAGGAAAAAGAATAATTTTCTTTCTCTTTTTTTGGTACTAGGCATCGAACTCAGGACCTTGTGCTTGTGAGGCGGGCAGTGGTACCACTGAGCTAAATCCCTGGCCCAAAAGAATGATTTTCTAGTCCATTTTCTGTTGAACCTCACTCTTTGAGCAAGGCTCCATTTTTAAAAATGTGATTGTTAAAAAGGTTTGGTGTGTATTATCAGGCAGGCATATGATTTGGTGAGCCTCATTTCAGTGATTTGCTAGTTCTCAATCCATATGTTGTAGTTACACTTTGTTATGTCTGTTTTAAGTGCTATGTATAGTAGTGGACTTCTTATAATTTTACAAATGTTTAGAGTTTGTTTTGACATTCTAACATTTGAATTAAACTTCTTTGGGAATAGAAAAAGAGGATACTGCAAAACTCCTTTCTCAGGTAGTAATTGCTATGTGGAATTCCTATTTATCATGTCAGACTGAGGTTTTTTTCTTTCTTTTATTTTTTTTTGGTACCAGGGATCGAAGTCGGGTCCTTGTGCTTGCACAGCAGATGGCGAAACCACTGAGCTAAATCCCCAAAGGTTTTTTCTTTTAAGACGGGGTTTCACTATGTAGTTCAGGCTAGCCTCAAAGTTGTGGCAGTCCTCCTGCCTCAGCCTCCCAAGTGCATCACCACACCCGGCAAGGCTAAAGGCTGAGAAATTTTAAACTGTTAGGTAGATATCTGAGCGGTCTTAGGATCTAGAGAAAGAGTGTTTCAGCAAGCAAAACTTTTCATGTTTTATAACAAGATAGAGTGGTATAATGGTAAGATCCAAGCAAGGACTTTTTGACTTTTGTCCTGGTAAGATATTTCTTTATCTAATTGTAAGATGAGTGCTACCTGTTGCATACATTAACCTTTTCCTTATCTAGCATGTTTTTTCTTTTGGTAAACGTGCTATTGAGCAGTTTTGTATGAGAGTACATCATATATTTTGGGGTTCTTTATCAGAATTTTGAATAACGATTTTGAAGTTTAGGGTAACTTTTGTGTGATTATATGACAAATTTATATCTCAAGTATAAATACCTTCTATAATGTAATTTTTTGTATGTGTAGTACTGGGGATTGAATCCAGAGCCTTCGCACTAAACTATATATCCTCAAGCCCATTTTAAAATTTTTGAGAGTGTCACTGAGTTGCTCTGGGATCCTCCTGCCTCATTCTCCTAAAGTGCTGTGATAAGAAAATGTGTAGGTAGTTTATTTGAATGTCGGTTTGTCCATAAAACTTTTTCTTTTTTTGGTGGGGAGATACTGGGGATTGAATCCAAGGCCTCATGAATATGAGGGAGGTAGCACTCTATCACTGAGTTACATCACCATCCCTTTTTATTTTTAGGTAGTATCTTAAGTTGCCCAGGATGGCCTGGAGTTTACAATCCTCCTACCTTAGCTTCTCAAGTAGGTGGGATGATAGGCATGTGTATCTGTGACTGGCTGAAACTTTTAATATCTCTGTGTAGTGAGTGCTCATATTACAGCTTTTTTTTGTTTGTTTTTGGGTTTTTGATACTGGGGATCGAACTCGGGACCTTGAGCTTGCGAGGCAGGTGGCAGAACCACTGAGCTAAATCCCCGGCCGTATTACAGCTTTTTTGTTGTTTTTTTGGTACCAGGGATCGAACTTGGGTCCTTGGGCTTGCGCAGCAGGTGGCGAAACCACTGTGCTAAATCCCCGGCCCTATTAGAGCTTTTTTTATTGATCAAGTTAGATCTTATTTGAGGAGTTTTAAGACTTACAAAAGGCAGGATGAAGAACTTCCATTAAATGAAGTACTGAAAAGCTTTAAAACTTTTTTTTCCTTGTCCTCAAAGACTTATGGTCATTTTTATAGTCATTAATTTCACACACACACACACACACACACACACACACACATGCACGTTCTTTTTTTCTTTTTGCATGGTGATGGGATGAAACCCAGAGCTTCCTTCATGCTAGACAAGTGCTCAACCACTGAGCTGTACTGCCAACCCCATTGTGTCTGTCTACTGTTTTGTGGTTATTGACAAGGGAACATAAAGTTGGAAAGAGAGAAAAAATGCTAGATTAATTAATTTGGCTCAGTGGTTAAAATTTGTGTAGTTCCATGCTATATTTAGTTGTTAAATTTAATTGAATCACAAAATACGTTGGATTAGAGTGTTATTGATTATTTATTACTTAATGTATTAGGGAATAAAATCTTTGTGATCATTCTTTGAAATACCTTCAAAGTAGCCTCTTGGGAGAGAAAACACAGTCTCATTTTAAAAGTCTGAGTCTAAATTTGTTTTGGGACAGAAGTGACTTTTGTATCCAGGAGTCTATCTCTCTTTTTAAAAAAGTTGTCATTAATAAGAACTTCATGTTTGAATATATCCTTTTAATGTTTTTTCCTACTGTAGCTATTTTGAGTGCATAGTGAATTTGGTAAAGCAAATTTTGATATGTTTATATCACGTTTGTGACAAGTCTTTTTTTTTCTTTCTGAGGCAGGGTCCCACTATGTAGTTCAGGCTGGCCTCTAACCTCATGGTGATACTCTTCCTCATGCTCCTGAGTGCTGGGATTACAAGTGTGTGCCACCAAGCCTAGCAAGTCGTTCTTAAAAATCAGAAATAGTTTAAAATTTGTATTTTGCCAAACTTTATTTACCTATTACATGTGGAAAAGAATTGTAACTTTGAAGGAGATAAATAGATTGATTGATTTGATTTGGGGCATAAGCTCTACTTTCTGGAACTAGTATGCTTATTTTGTAGTGTTTGAGTTGAACAGCTAGGAAATGACAAAAGAGCTACCTAGTGTTTGGGTTTTCTTAAACAAGACTTAGCTTTGTTTGTTTAAATGAAAATTTTAGTCTTTTTAAAGCCAGATCTTCCAAGGCAGATTTGTATCTGTTTGTACCTGAGGAGGTACTCCAGTGGGAGGAAAAGAAGCTTCGTTTTGGCGATAGTGTGGTATTTGGTTATCCTGAGGTGTAAAGATGGTTTATTTCTGTATTTCTGGTAAATTTGAATAGAGAACTTTATTAAGAAACATTGGCACATACTAAGCATGGAACTTTTTCTTATATATGTATTTGGTTTGAATAGCCAAGTGTTGGAGTGGTTTTGAGTTTTTGTTACTGTTCATATTTACTTATTTGCTTATTGAGAATACTTAGTAGAGTATCTTACAATTCCTAAGTCTAAATTGTTAGTTAAATTCATAAAGCTATATGGGATTGGGAATATAGCTCAGTTGTAGAGCATATGCCTAGCATGCTGGAGGCCCTGAGTTCGATCCTCAGCACTTACATTAAGGTTTTTTGGGGTTTTTTTGGTATCAGGGATCGAACTTGGGTCCTTGGCTTGCGAGGCAGGCGGCGGAACCACTGAGCTAAATCCCTGGCCCCTCAGCACTACATTAAAAAAACAAAAACAAAATCTATAGATGTGGTGGCATACTTCTCTAATCCCAGTATTTAGGAGGCTGAGGCAGAAGAATCGCTGCCAGTTTGAGGCCAGCCTGAGATATATAGTGAGTTCAAGGCCAGCCCAAACTATATAGTGAGACCCTGTCTCAAAAAAAATCCGTAAAGCTATACTTGGTGAACTTTTAGGTTTTTGTAACCATATTGCCCCTGTGTAATACTTATTATTGTATAGGAAAACCAAAGGCAGAATAACATTACTAAAGTAAGTATATGAGTTTTCTCTATTGTTTTGCATGATGACTTTCAGTTTTAATTTGGAACTTTTTTATTTTTATTTGAAAAGATAACCTTTGTTATATACTTTAATAATACTGGATTATAATATCGGTCCCCAACATGTATGCACATACATAGTTACATTTGGTGTAGGAAAAATTCACTAACTCCTGCGAAAGAGGATTGTAGAAAAAAATGGCCAAATCAATATAAAAAAAGTGAAGACAATATATTTGCGATAAAGGAGTTAAAGAACCTGAATTTTTTTTTTTTTTTTTTTAAGTTCACCTAAGCCTGGTTGTATTATGTGAAGGGGAAGATGTTGAGAATTCAATTTGCTTGTCAATCTTGATGACGAGATTAAGAGATTTTCTAAAGGATATTATTATCCTATTGGATGTTCAA